CACGTAGCCAAAACCACAGGAGATTTTCTGACCAAGCTTTTTTGGTTTTCCCCTCCCCAAGCAGCAATTTTCTCAGCACCTTGAGCTCAGCAGCAGTTGGGAATAAGGAGCAGGGCTCAAAAACCTGCCTGTCCCCCCACGCCCCGACCCCGGTTCCAGGGCAGCTCAGGACCGACCCACGGTGTCGATGCCGCGAGGACAGACCTGTCCCAAAGCACCCAAAAACCAGCACGGCCTTCCCTGCGCATCCAGCCCAGCGGGGGAGCTGGATTTGGCAGGGATGGGTAAGAGGTCTCCACTTCATCCATCCTCACCAACAGCTTTAGAGGCTTTTCTGCGTAACGATGCGGAAGGGACGGTGCGAGCGCAGCCCCAGTGGCACTGCTGTTACCCAGAAATCCCTTTGTCCATTAAAAACATGACACGGACCCAGGCAGCGTGGAAGTCGCTCTGTGCGAAAGCCTGCTTTTTAACTCAAGCCTTTTGAAGTTTACGCCAAAAAGGTTTAACAAGCCCTACCATTTGAGCTTTTTTGGCCCTAATTTGAATGCCCTTGGAGGTGGAAGGCAGGCGTGGAGACGCCACGGAAAATCCCAGCTTTCCTGCGGTTTGAGTGACTAAGGTGCAATTAAACCTCCTGGACCCAGCGTGCGAGGCAGCCCAGCCGCCTCCGAGGCGGCGTCACCGCAGAGCCGCCGCGGCGTCCTCGCTCCTGCTCCGCTCTCCTCAGCCCCCAGCACAGGGGTCTGGCTGCTCCCCACGTCGTCACCTGCCGCGGCAGGACCGATTCCGGCCCCTTTGTGGGATGGCAGCCACGGCTGGACACTGTTCTCGACGAGCACACGCACGACTTCATGGCCATCTCTACCTTTCTCCACCTCAGCACCTTCCGTACGACCGTCACCGCTGCGCACACGGGCTTCGGCTCCGCTTCCACGACTGAATTCCCCCTCGCTCACCTACGATTAGCACCCACATCAGCAAATCGCACCCACAGCTAAGCATCCCCGGGGAAAATGCCACTTAAGTGGCATTACGGTGAACCGGCCAGAGCCGCTTTTGGGAAATATCTTACAAGTTATTTATAGTTTCAAAAACAAAAACCTATTGAGGAAACTGGAAAAGCACTTCCCTGCAATCCAAGCCCTGCGTAAGAGCAGGAGTTAAGCCCACCACGTTTTTTCTGCCTGCAAGGCTGGGTTTCTTGCCAAAACACCTAAACCACCCCGACCAGGCGGTGTCCGAGATGCAGGAGTTTCAGACATGAAAACTAAAAATTTCACATCAATTTGATTACACCCTAAAAACCCTGTCCAGCCTTAAGAGGAATCTATGCACAGTGGTGGCACGCCGAACGTGAGGCTCTCCAATGCAGCATCAGAGCATTTTCAAGAAAGTCTAGAGGTGCAAGAGGTCAGATGCAATTCAGTTTTCACCAAAATAATAATGGTAATTATAAAACTTCATTTGGTAAAACTCTGACTTGCTGTGCCAGGAACAGGTCACAATCCATAAACCTTTAGTGACGCTGCTGAAAACATGGTCCTTCACGCTCATCTCAGGAACATCAACCATCGACGACGCTTCCGTGGGCTCCGGCCGGGCGTGCAGCTCGCGTTGCGATCCACCTTCCCTAAGCGGAGAGAGAAACTGCACCAAACGTGCCCATTATCTGCCTCGGCAGCTGAAAACAGGAGACAGATTTTTTTTTTTTTTTTGAAAAAAAAATTATTTTATTGGAACTCATCTGAACATCAGATATACCTGGTGTTGGTTAGCAAGAACCGTTTGTACATTTGATATTGATGGTGCCAAAAACCCAAACAGTGACTGACTGGATGAGATGGAAATTTAAAAAAAAAAAAAACAAAACCAAAAATAATAAAATGTCGGAAAGGTTAAAATGTGAACAGAAAGCAGAAAAATCAGCCAGTCTAAAATTCAGTGTAAAGGCAAAATATTTCCTGATAAAACAGAATCCTTTTACAAAATATAATTTTTGTACGAAAAACGCGGAGAGGGAGAGAGGAAAAGAGACAGAGGGGAAAGGAAAAAGAAAAAGATTAGCAGGACAGAGACGCAGAAGCTTACACTGCCCAAATGGCATTAAAACCTAACTGGTAACCTCACCATAAAATGCAACATGCTGGAATACACCGTGCTCCACCCCCCACATCTACAACTTTGGAACAGTAACGAGGAAAACTCCCCAGCGAGTGCTGCACTGGGTTATTCCAGAAGGGCCGAGCTGTCTCACATCGGATGTCGGAACAGAAAAAAAAAAAGAAAAAAAAAAAAAAGAAAAGAAACACTTAGCAGAGGTAAATACTGACAGTTTGCTCAGCGCCCGGGCAGCGGCGCGCCCCGGCCGAGCTTCGGGAGGGAGGATGCGGGGAACGCCTGCTCACCTGTTCTTCCTACCAGTGCAGGTAGGGGGGAGGGAGAAAACATTTAAAATCTAGTCTATTTTAAACAATAGCATGCAATCCAGGCCTCCCGGGGGAAACCTGCGCTGTTCCCTTGGTTAGAAACTGGCCTAAATGGTCTGGGCAGTGGGCGCAGCCGCCTCGAGGCTGCGGGCTGCGCGGGGCGGCTCGGGGCAAGCGCGGCACAATGACAGTTCTGAAGCAGGTTCCTGGGGTGTGAAAGCCTTCAGGAAAATCATTGTGGAGCTGCTTTCCGGGGGATCTGAGGCCTTTAAGATTTCAAAATAAACCAGCAGTCTGTACATTTGGGGCTTTTTTGGTTTAGTACGACTGGAATAAACTTGGCTGCTTATACACTGGCAGTTAAGTCTCAGATTTCAGAGCAGAGGGAGAGATGAAACAAACTTGTTTTGGGCACCTACCGGTAACAAAACTTTGTCCCTGCTTAACTCTCTGCCATCCCTCAGGAAGTGGAAAGCACATGTTTAGGTAGTGTAAGCCTTTTTCCTTTTATTTAGAATACCCTCTTTGTTTAAACAATATTCCCCCCCCAGATACAAAGTTTGGCCAGTAAAGATTACATGGAAACTGGAACACGCATCGTATGGAATACAAGATGCACTGGATGAGGAAGTTTAAAAACTTTCCGAGCGAAAAGTAGAACAAAGAAAAGAGGAAAAAAAAAAAAAAAAAGAGTCTCCTAACATTTTCCCAAAGGTTTCACTCTCCTGTCACACACACTCTCCAAATGACAGCTAGCAAATTCAACTCTGCAAAAAGAAAACAGAGTCACGTCAATCGGGAGGAGAGAAAACGAGCCTCGAGGACACAAACCGCACCTTGGCCTGGGAGGAGCGACAGGTCCGGAGCAGCTGCGACCGCCGGCTCCCGCCTCCACCCATGTCAGCTTCTTGGCTTTGTTGTAGAGCGAATCCACTACTTTACTCATATTCTGAATAGTCTCGAGGGCAGCTTCGTAAGTTTTGTCTACAGGGGGTTCATCGAAGATGATCAGGACTCCCTCGCCCTGGTCAAGGATGCCTGCGGACACAAAGCGGTGGTTACCAGCTCGACAGATCACGTCTTCCAGACAGCAGGAAATTTGGGGTCTACCCACCAAATCAGCTGGGTTGGGTTTGGAAGTGGCTTGTGTGTTGCACTAGGCTGGCTGACTGTTTTTTGTCTGGACCACATTAGCAGTAGCTTACCCAGAAAAAAACAACCCATCCTGGAGAGGGGGCCAAGAAGACATCCAAGAGATGCTTACACCTGCACATTCCCTAACAGCTACCTTCCTCCTCCAGGCCCCTGTGCCCAGCAGCATGGCTCAGCACAACACTGGAGCAAGTGAAACAAAAAAAAGTGATTTTATAATTAAAGTATTTCCAGGTGCCAGATGGGCACTGCAGCTGGGTTCCATAATTTTGGAGCTATTCCCAAACCAATATGCTTCTTTCAGCCATTCACCTGGCTCAGCTAGATCAAGAGGGCTTTCTAAATCGACGCTGGGGACAACGTAAACAAGAACAGAGCTGTTCCTTGAGCGCTTATCAAAGAATAATGTATTTTTTTTGTCTCAGACAAGCCCCATCAATCGTGCTGTGGGGGTGGCCGCCACCAACGCACAAAATGCTCCTGACACAAATCAGCCAGGAAAGGTGAGCACATACTCCAGTAAGCTCCAAGGCAGAAGAGCCCATCTTCGCTCGATAGTGGGTCTCACAGCTGTCCTTGGATGCAGCCACAGCAAGTAAGGGCTTAAACGTGATTTCTGATTTGTGAAAATTAAGCCTTGAGCTTCATGAAGGCAGATGGAAGGAACAATAGGAACAGCCTTCGTGACAACAGAGAGAGTAACAAATAGTGCCTGTTGACCGGCGCGCCAGCCGTCTGAAGCAGAGCAGAGAGGTCTAAGGAGGACACTTGGGGTTCAAAGGTGCAGTGACAAAGAGGAGACAACCCACAGCTTGCTTACAGCCTGCCTGCGGGCAGCAAGGCAGTCAAGAGTGAAGGATGCAGAGACTCACCATGAAATTTCTTGTCCAAGATCATCTGTGAGAGTTTCCTTTCTACCTCAGCCTGAAATTGAAGCAGAAAAATTAAAAGTCTCCCAGAACTACTTAAAGAAATATGAATTTTACTACGCCACACTCAACAGCCCTGGCACAATACAAGGAACACTTAAAAGCAGGTGGTTTATCACTGACACGCTGTCAGGACAGACCTCTCCTTGCACCCTGCTTTGATACCACCACACGCTTTAGATGCCACCAGGAATGAAGCGGTGGCTTTTAACGACAGAGCACCAGGATGTCTCGCCCTCTTGTTCCGCAGAAGACGGTGTGCCTGTCGTTTCACACAGGCATTACTCAGTAGGGCACCTGGAGCGTTCCAGCTTGGTTTAGCAAATAAATATTTAGTCAAGCGTTGGCCAAGCTTCATCTAAGCCACTCAGCACCGAGCGGATCTCCTGCCCAGCGCCAGGGCCCCCCAGCAGTCAGCCCCTCTTCTGCTCTTTGGACACACGGCTGCGGTTAAACGACTGCAGTCCAGCTTTTACTCAAACTATGTGTTAAACACACCAAGGGCTAGGCCAGGAAAAGTCTGCACAGATAGAAAAGGAGGACAGATGCTGTAATGGCCATAAAGGCCGAGCTCGGGACACTTCCAAACCTCTGGCCTTAATGGCAATACAGGACAAAAGCACTTTGGGATGCAACTGGCTAGAGACTACAGTGGATTTTCCTAAAACTTAATCTGGTTGGGATTATCTGTAAAGCATTTATTGCAATAGTCAATGTGACATACACATCCCTAATGAAACTTCAAAGTGATTAGCTGGATCCTGTATCTTAAGGGCCTAAGAAAGACTCCTCCGGGCACGCTCACGAGGATTAAATGCAGGTCAACAGGGACGACTGAGCTGCTCATGACATGAGCTGTTACTACAGCAGAGGAAAATCTGTCTCCAATAAAAAGCAAGCGCTAACACAGGGAGCAAAACCCATGTGAAGGAAGGTGACGTTACAGCAGCTCCTCCTGGCACACAGGAAGCCTGTCCCATGCCTCCTGGAAACTCTCCGTGTTAAAGCCAAGTTCCCAAGAGTGGCAGTTGCCTGTAAGTGCTGCAGAGCCGACCTGTCAGGTTTAACAGCTTACATTGATTTCCCGGTGGCAAATGCCACGTGACCTCAATTCCTTTGCCCTCTTAAGACGTGCCACTGATTTCCAGTGATGTTCTTACCTTTGAGAGCTTGATGAGGCTGGATATGTGTTCAATCTATAAGAGAGACCAGTAGAGTTAAGTAAATCTTTAGCTGTACTTTTGACACACAACACGGAGGTGTGGGGCTCTTCCAAAGAACAGTTCAAGGGCCTGTAAATGCTCTGGACTAAAAATCTCCAGTGGCTTTCTCTGCTTTGCAGCTTCGTGTCCTTCAGATTTCATATCCAATTTTAACTGAAGATGGACTAGACACCTAAAGCCATTTCACTCTGAAACATGAAATAACATTTCTTCTCCAAGATTACTGCAGCTTTCCCCACACCCTCTCAGAGCCCTTGAAAGCCAAACACTGTCACCTTCAGTGTTAAAAGCACGTCCACCTTCCAGTGCGTGTAAGTGAAACAGGCGGAAAGGGCAATGACTCTGGAACAGGGTTTTCCAAAGTTCTCCTCAGTCCCCTCCTTATCATTTTTGAGCTGAACATGAGGAGCTCTGGAAGTGCTGAGCAGCTCTGAGTAAGAAGCATTCTGTACAGGAACAAGTCCCTCACCCAGCAACAGCAGGGGACAGAGGTACCAGCGTGTCCGTGTACTTGCTGGAAACATTTACCTGTACTCTGGAGAAGGGTTCGATGACTCTGATCAGATTCTGTTCCAATAAATTATCATAGAGCTTGGCCAAGTGGGTGTTGATGATGGGGTCGTCCCTGAGCTCCACCTTATAGTCTGTCAGAGCCTGTGAAAGACACGGTGGGAACAAATAACTCAGGAAGTGAGACATCTCCTGTCTTCCAAGGCCCTCTGAGCAGGCTATAGTCTTCCCTCCCTGCCCAGCAAAGCATCAGTGCTTAATCTAATTCCGTAATTTAGCGAAAAGGCCAGGAGGTCAGGGCAGCCCATCGAGCACCGTGCAGCGTCTGTCATCTTTACACTGCTGGAGCTCAGCAAGCCGGAGTCTCTGGTTTACACTCAGGAGACGGCATGACAGGATTGTTCCCTGACATGGGAATCCTCTCCGTTATCTCTGTGGTATCCTTGGTGAAGCCAGGAAAGATTTTTAGGAAGATACACATCTCAGTGAACAGCACCAAAAGTACAGGAAACAGTTCTAAGTTGGCTCATCAAAAAAACCAGTAACAAATAAAACAAAATCGTTTCGAGCAAGTTATTAATCCTCACACTGCAAAAACCAAACCAGTTCATTATTGTGGGGTGTTTGCTGGGTGCACTGTTGCTTTCTATGAATGTTTTTATGGTTTCCTGTTGTGGCTTTTAACAGCTCCTACAAATTTTCCAAACCCGGCATTCCCAAATGTTTTTCCAGTCAGGTTTCATTTTCTGTCTCCTGACTCACCTTTTCAAAATCTGCCAGCGATCGGTTCTTACTGGCCTGTGCCACACACTTTAGTGCTTCTGTCTGCAGAGAAAGAAAATGAGAGTAGGTTATTCTTCTGGATCCTCCTCTCAGTGCTATCATGCCAACCGTGCAGTACACCAAAAACGTGCTTAAGCAGCAGAATGGGAATGTTCCTTTTGCTGCAAAGCCGTGTCAGTGTAACTTCCACACAGGCAGAGTACGAACAGCTGCTAACAAGGAGAACTGCAGAACAGCTGCAGGACACAGCATGAAATCAGCTTCACAGAAACAAAGAACTCAAGTTTTGCAAGGTTCGAGAACACCAGCTGCAGCTGCTATCAGGTTGCGGGCAAGTTTGGCATAGTTTTTAGGGAAAGTGCACATTTTGGCACTTGCTTAATGAGCATGGCCCTTTTCAGCCCTTAAGCTGTGTTTCTCCCCTTCAGCGTGCCACGTTTCTTCTGCTGAGCGACAGAAGCATGGCAGAAGTCCTACAGATACACTATCATGGACAGCATCAGAAAACGTTTCTTGTGTACCCCACAGTCGCTGAAAGAAAGCAAAAGACTCAGCCACAACCAAACTACCATATTTGTACTAAACAGAACAGTAACACCACTAGAAGAAGAGTTTCCAAGCAGTGAAGTGCACAAGACAAGCAGGACAGCCCAGCGGCTACCGTGCACATGGCCCAGGCTTCTGCTACCACCACTCCCACCAAGCTGTCCCCAAGGCTGCCCACTTTCCCTCTGCTCCCTAAGCTCAGTTTGCACAGCTGCTGCAGGAACATGCGGTCATCACCATCTCAGGAGGGCAGCGCAGGGAACAGCTGAGATTTCCTCCATCGTACACTGCCCTCCTGCTCTGAAAAGGAGCCTCCAACCCAGCTGCCGCTCGGGGGAAGGGGATGAAGCAGGACTAGGGCTGCCCTTTGTGATCCAGAAGGGATAACGCAGGGATATCCCCACTTCAGACTCTTTTCTACGCACATGTGCTCACTGACCTCCCCTACTAAAGAGCTTGCCCAGTCCGCTGCGAGATACACCAGTATTAGCTCCTGCGTCAAAGCAAATAGCTGGCTGACCAAAGCCACCGAGGGCATCAGCGTGTAAGCCTGGCTCAGACCTTGGCACGCCTGGCTTTTGGCCCTGTACTTTATATAAGCATCCCTGGATTTAACACGGGGGTGGCATTCGCAGACTGGCAAGTTAACCTGTTAGAACAAACGAGTTGATTTAACAACTCCCCAGCTGCCTGGCTTCCACCTTACAGCCATCTAGGTCTCAAGCTGCTCAGCTACGCTGCTATGAATGGATTTTTCAGGACTTGCTACAACACAAGCGAAAACAATGAATAACTTGGATTTAAATCCATCAGATCCATGGCTGCAGAGCAGTTGGCGAAGGCTGAGCCATGAGTACCTTACGGCATTTGGCATTTAGTAGTTCATGAAGAAAGCAGGGAGGAGAAAACCAGAGAAAACAAAGTGAGCAGGCCAGATTCTCAGGTTGTGAAAACCACTGTACTCCCTCTGAAGGCATCTGACTTACGGCAATTACTTATGACACTTTAATCAGTTCTGGATCTCGTTCAGGACAGTCAGAAGTGAAGGGTGTTTTGGTATGAAAAGACAAAGCATTTGACAAAAAGAGTAACACAGTATTCTCAGAGCTATCAGGACGATAGAAAGGATGAAGTTTCTATACCTGTCTTCCTGCGTATCGCAGAGCGAGCTTTCCGCTCACTAATGCTTGCACATCTTCGGGGCTAGAGAGGAGAGGGAAGGGGAGAGAGTGTTTATTCAACAACATGCTCAGGTTAAATCTACCATGCCTCAAAAATTCCCAACTGAGAGTAAATTACTATAATTCAAATAACGTATCAGAAGCATCAATCAGGTCATAAAGACAAACAGTGAGTCTGCGTGCTCGAGTCCTTTCGCTAGTTTAGAGTCTTACAAATGAAAAGCCTTTCCCATTTAAATGTAGAAGGTGTTCTTCGCAGAACCATCTGTCACGTACATGTTCAGCATGATTTTGCACAGCAACATGTATTTCAGTGCAGTGATGGCTTTTGGGTTGTCAATTGAATCGTAGCCCTCAAACGCCTCGTAAAAATATGAATAGGCTGTTTTCCAGTCCTTCTCTTCTGCTGCATGGATAATACCTGTTGAGAGGAAAAAACAGGCAGGCATCAGAGTTAATTCAGACTGTGACTGGAAGAGGACAGAACAATTTGGCTGCCTAGTGCTTTATTTATCTGGTACTTCAGTAAAGGGAATCCTTTCTTTCTAGCAGACATCATCCAGGCCCTCTCTTAAGGGGTTATGTTAAGACAGACAAGTTTGGGGCACTTCAGGTATGTGCCTGCAAATCTGGTCAGGAACAACATTACAGTTACACTAACACGGTGTAACGGGAGGTTACGGACCCTCCACCACTGGAGGTTTTCAAAAATAGGCTGAAAAAACATGCGTCAGGAACGATGTAATTACAGCTGATCCTTCCTTGAGGCAGCTGGGCAGACTAGTAGACATCCTGAAGACCCACCTAGCATCATTTCCTATGATTCACTCAGGAAAGAACAAGTATCAGTCAACTGATGCATCATGACACGTCCTAGACCTTCCCCTCCTGACGGGCTTTACCTGACTGCATGTCTAACGCTGCTTGCAGCTTAGGCGGACAGTAGATTGCGTTGGCCGTAGTCCGTGCAGAGGTTAAGGCTGCTCTTGCTTTTGGCAGATTGCTCAGGGCATGGTAAGTCTTACTTTCTAACAGCTGCACTTCCACCAGCAACGCCTTGTCGTCCATCTTTTTCAATTCCCGAAGAAGCTGGGAGCCTAGCAGCAAGGAAGAACAAGGACCTTTGTAACCTGCTCTGCATCTGCTATCAATAACTTCACAAAACCAAGCTTTTCCAGGCGACACCCTTCTTCCCCCGCAGCAGTACTGGCTTTGAGGAACGGAGGCTGGACTTACACAGCCTGTTCTTCCAAGAACAAACAAAGGAGAGGAACTAATGGTAGGTCAGTGTCAGTCCACAGCTGGAGAAGAACCAACCAGTTCTGTGTTAGAGGCGGAAAAGGGCAGTGAGAATACTTGGGTATGTGGACAGCGTGTCTCTGCCACCTCATCGTGGGCAGCAGACACTCAGCAGAAAGTCAAGAATGGGTTGTGCAGTTCAGATGGTCACTCTGGTACCCGTTCCCCAGGTGACAGCATGATTTACCACTCACATTCAGAGCACCGAGCAAACCTGAAGTACTGCCCATTCCTGCATCATTCCCTTAGGGTGAGACCTGAGGATTTTCAGGCAACTCCTAAGAATACGGGACAAGGAAGGAATGTTTTAAGCACAAGACCTCTACAGATCAAGTTTAGAAGGTAGGAACGGACAGCGTAAGCAACGCCTGGATAAACCGCCACACTAAAGCGTTATGAGGACAGAAAGAGCCAGCCTTAGAGGAAACTTCTCCCCTTCTTTCCTCCCCACTATGAACTAAAAATCTAACTCAGGGCAAGCGGAGATGAGAACCTCATCCTCGCCTGCTGTGCTCAGAAGCTGAAAGCCACAGCTGAAACTGCATAACTAGGTGGAAGAGTGCGGACCGTCCCAAGAAACATCCCGCAGAGACTCCTGCTGGCACCTCCTCGCCACGGCCGCAGACACAACCAC